CGCTCGTTCTTGATGCTGGCTGGGAGCTGCTGGGGAGACCCAGACATAGGGGTTTGGTGCAGAAACCCTGGAGGCTGATCCCACTTCTGGCCAGTCCCTCGGGGCAGAATGTAGCTGGGATGGGGATGGGATGGAGGAGACAGGGCGGGAGTCCTGTTCATGGTGTGCAGGGAGAAGATCTTGTGCCTGCTTCCCATCCCTAACCTCTGCCAAGCATGGGGAAGATGCTGAGCTGGGCATGCCGGGGTGGCATGGAGGGGGCAGGGGCTGGGCTGGTGCCAAGGCCAGGAGCTTTGTGCATTTGCCGTGGCTTGGGGGAGGCGGGTGTGGGCCTGAGGCTGGGGATGCTGGCATGCATTGCTGTGCACACTGCCTGGGGGAGCTGGGGGAGCCACGGACTGAGACCGGGACCGTTGTCTCCTGTCCCCTCTGCAGACCTGGGCACCCCCAGCCCGTGCCTGAGCGTGGAGTGCACCTTCGGGGCCACATGCGTGGTGAAGAACCAGGAGGCTGTGTGTGAGTGTCAGCAAGTGTGCCAGGGCCGCTACGACCCCGTCTGCGGCAGTGACAACCGCACCTACGGCAACCCCTGCGAGCTCGACTCCATGGCCTGTGTCCTCAAGAGGGAGATCAGAGTGAAACACAAGGGACCCTGCGGTAAGAGCCGATCTCGGGGGGGTTCCTCTTCATCCTGCTGGCCATGCTGGGTTTGCTTGCTGGGAGCAAGCAGTGTCTGCAGCACGAGCGTGGCCTCAGCCTTGGGGAGACGGGGCTGTTGGGGTGTCTTTGTGTTTTGGTTTCCACTGTGTAGCGTGTGCAGCTCAGCACATACACAGCATCTGCACGTTCTCTCTCTGCTGGCACAGCTTTGCCTGTCAGCAGGTGTTTGCACAGGGGCAGCCCGAGCTGGCTGGGTTCTCCTGGGATAGAATCTGCTGGGATGGTCAGGTTGGGATTTTGTCAAAATACAGTCTTTCTGCTCCTAACCTTCAGGCTGTGTATCAGGAGCTGGTGCCTGGCTTTCCACCCAGGGCTGGTGTGGCATAGCAGTGCTGCTGTCAAAAGTGGGCTTGATCCCTTATGGTCATCTCCTCCCTGAGCCGCGCTGTGCAGTCCTGCTTGGGAACGTGCTCCTGAGCTGTTAAGGGCTTTGAGACAGCGGAGAAAAGGAAGACCCTTCCTCCAGAAAAGGAAAGCCCTCCAACCTGTGGCGCTCCCCGCTGCAGCATAGCAGAGCATCCAGCAAGATGCAGCTCAGAAGAAAATGCTGCTACCAGCTCCATGCAGTTGCAGGAGAAACAGGGAAGGATGCAACTACTTCCTTTGCTGGGCACATGGACGAGTGCCCTGAAGGAAAGATCTGCCCTTGTCTGCACATAACCTGCCTTGAGCAGCCCCTCTCCCGACCTGCAGAGCCCAGGCGTGGCTGCAAGCTTTGTGCTGTAGATAGAAACCTCCTGGCCGACAGTCTGCACAAACCAAGCAGGGGGTTGTGGCGTCTTCCCTCCCTCATGCAAAGGCAGCAGCTGCTGTGTGAAAGAAGAAATAAGAAAAGCCATCTTCAAGCCAATTTCTTCGTGAATTGAATGGCGGGGAGGGGGGAGAGGTGTTTGTTTGGAGGAGGAAATGAAGCCATGAATCACTAAATATGCAGGAGTCAGGAGATGTACGGGCTGGGGTCCGATCTCTCCTCCAACAAGTGATAGCTCTTTTGCAGGTGAGGTATTGCAAAGATGAATGTCATCTCTGCCCCGAGCTTGCGTGTGTTTGCAGCAGGCAGGCTGGGGATCCAGAAAGCTGGGGGGGGACTTTTCCCAAGGGCAGGGAGTGACAGGGCAAGGGGTAACGGGTTTAAATTGAAAGAGGGGAGATTTAGGTTGGACATCAGGAAGAAATTCTTCCCAGAGAGGGTGGGGAGGCACTGGGACAGGTTGCCCAGAGAAGCTGTGGATGCCCCATCCCTGGAAGTGTCCAAGGGCAGGCTGGATGAACCTTGCAGCAACCTGGTCTAGTGGAAGGTGTCCCTGCCCATGGCAGGGGGGTTGGAACTGGATGATCTTTAAGGTCCCTTCAACCCAAACCATTCTGTGATTCCGCTGGGGGAGGTGGCAGGGCACACCTGAGTGGGTGCTGTGTTGTATGTGTCTCCAACACGGCTGGCACCCTGATAAACTAGGGGAAGACAGTATCCCTATCCCTGGCAGACTACCTCCTCCCGACTTGCCATGTGTGGATCCTGCTTCCTCTCTCCTCTGGGAGACTGGCCTGGGATGCTGCACTCCTCCTCCCAAGGCTGGGACTGATTTATCACTCCTCACAATTGCACCCAGCCCCGTGCTCTCTCCCGCCTCCTCTTTAGCTGTAACGACATACAGCTCTGGTGACATTTCATCACGGTTACTCCTGGCCAAGATGGATTTTACAAGTAATTATTGCCTTTCTGCCTCCTAGCCTGACTCTCCCTCCTCCTGCAGCGCTCACCACAGCTCCTTCCCTTGCGCTGCTCCCCAGGGCTTCTGCTCCCGACAAGCTGCCAGCATCTCCAGGGCCTCGACCTGGGGGAGGAGGTCGCAGTGGGGTTTTATTTCTGCTCTGACACTTCACTAGACAGCGATGCCTGCCTGACCTGTTGTTTTAACCTACTGGTTTTGTTCTTTGTCTCTGCAGACCGTTGCGGCAAGTGCCAGTTCGGGGCCATCTGCGAGGCGGAGACGGGAAGGTGCGTGTGCCCCACGGAGTGCGTTCCCTCTTCCCAGCCCGTGTGCGGCACAGATGGCAACACGTACGGCAGCGAGTGCGAGCTCCACGTCCGGGCGTGCACGCAGCAGACGAACATTTTGGTGGCTGCCCAAGGAGACTGCAGTGAGTCTGGCAAGGCTCCCTTCTTCCCTCGTCTCGCTCCCACTGGGGGCATTTCAGAGTGCGGATGCTCAGCCCTGCTGAGTTGCCTGGCCGTGGCTGGCCAAGACGCACCGGTGGTTTGCCAGCCCTGGGAGGTGCTGGAGAAATGAGGGAATGAGATGCTGAGGAGGGTCTCCCTAGCACTCCTCCTGGTGCCTTGACTGGTTGTCTTCAGGGCTTCCCAAGAGGATATCAGCTGTGATATCTATAACATCAGCTGCAGAGCTGGGCTTGCCCAGGGGCACCCAGCAGTCTGGCCCTGGGCTGCAGCTCCTGGCTGGTCACTCGGAGAGCCTGCCTGAGGCTTTTCACCCTGTCTGGCATGGTCTTCCCTTTTGGCTTCACAAAAATTGGGGCTCTGAAGTCACCCAAGCAGCTTCTCCTTTTTAGCCCCAGCTGTTTTAGTTTCCCCAGCTGTTTCAGTTTCCCCAGCTCTGCATTATAGGTGGTATCTGCCCTTTTCGTTATTTGTCTGAACCAAGCAAAGAAACGGGGCTAATGTCCATTGAGCCAAGCAAAGAAATTGGGCTGAAAACATGTTAATACCTACCACCAGAAATGAGAGCATTGAGGGTCTGTTTGATCATATAGTTCATCTCAGTAGCTTTCTCTTCTTCCCTCTGTCCCCTGGGGTTAATTCATCTTTGCTCCTGTGTTCCCACTCCCAGCGCACGGAACTCTCTGTGCTAATTTCTTAGTGAATTAAAATCCCTGCCTAGGTTCTTCGTTAGCACGAATGCTACTTCAGTAAAAGCAATGCTTCGAGCCTCATAAAACCTGTCCAGCTGGGTCTGGTGTTCCAGAGCTGAACTGTGCATGGAGTTGCTCTCTAAATTTGGGAGGATAAAACAACCAAGTGTGACAGATGACTCTGCTGTGTGGGCACTGTGAGCAGGAGGAGGCTGAAGTCAAAGTACACCGTGAGAATAGATGAGATTTCTTACTGGTGTCCTAGAAAAAGCTGTTGGCCACAACGCGTGTGGGTGCTGATAGGAACCAGAACTGCTCAGGACTGGCACTTCTCTCTCACGGAGTCTTTGCAGAGTCTTTGCACGGTTTAAATAAGCAATAACAAGCTACTCTGGGGAAGTAGGACTTCTCTTCTTGCTTTTGAGGTCATGGTGTTAGTGGTGCCCAGCTTTGCGATGCCGGGCAGTTGGCTACAAAGGTCTCACGGTGGTTCCTTCGTCTCGCCCCACAGAGTCCTGCGGCAGCACGGTGTGCTCCTTCGGCAGCAGGTGTGTGGGTGGGCAGTGCGTGTGCCCGCGCTGCGAGAGGCAGCCCCTCGCTCGGGTGTGCGGGAGCGACGGGCTCACCTACCACAGCCCCTGCGAACTGCGAGCAGCCTCCTGCCAGCAGCAGAAGAGCATCGAGGTGGCCAGGATGGGGCCGTGCGAGGATGGTAGGTTGCCACTGTTCCTCCAGCTGTGCGGGTGTGAAAGGTGGGGGAAGGGGTGAGGAAGGGGTGGAGCGAGTCCAGAAGGGTCCATGGAGATGCTCCGAGGGCTGGAGCCTCTGAGGCTGGGAGAGTTGGGGGTGTTCAGCCTGGAGAAGGGAAGGCTCCAGGGAGACTTTATAGCACCTTCCAGTGCCTGGGGGGCTACAAGAAAG